ATTTACTCCCAACCAACCAACTGCCGCTAAAGAAGTTTCACTTTATAAACTCAAGAAATTTTCTTAGCCTTTCAGTTACCCTAATTCATATATATCTGTCATTGTCTCCATTTTCGTCTTTATCTTCACTTTTGCCTTCTTCTTTTTTGATTTCATCGTTATCATTTATTTCTTCATCTTCATATTTAGCTTTACTTCAAAGCTTAATTTCAAGTGTGAAGTGAAACAACATGCGAAACATGTCAAATTGAACATGTTGCAGCAACATCTATACACAATTCGAAAATGTTTAAACGTTGTTGTTTTCAACCAATTGTGAAACCATAAAAACTCTGCTCATCTACGGAAAAATGCCTTTCCAACGGTGTTCTTGGTTTTGAAATCGGTTCGGTAGAATCGCCAAACAAACGGAGACAAAATTTATGTTAGCGTATTAATATATAGATATATATACATTTTTTTTTTATGTTTAATGTTTGTTCACTCTATTTGTTATAAAAGAAATTATGTGTTTACTCTACAGAGTACTAAATAGACGAAATTTTGTGTTTACTCGATCGAGGAGTTCAGCTAAGCCGGGGTTTAGTCAACGTCGCTTGCACCGTGTACTTTAAGATCCGACCGTGAATGTCGAACGTTTCCTGAAAAATATAAAAAGCCGGCCCCTACGTTTGGCAAACATTTCTTTTCCAATTTGCGTTGCAAAATACTCCTTTTTTTCTGATATGGTCTACATCGTGTGTATGTATGTAAAAAGAATCTAAAATCTATTAAAATTTTTATCAAGAAAAAATAAAGACTCCGTACACTGAGAAAAGCGTCAGCTAAATTGATATATTTCTCTCAACACAACATTTGGTAACTATAACTAAATCATGTGTTGAGAAAACATATTTATTTAGCTGACGTAACTAAACTCTTCTCAGTGTTGACGAGTCGGAAGATGGCCTACTACATGTAGGTAAGACGTAATTATAGGGTGGTTTTCCGGGACATGTCCCGATTTTAGACTGTTCTTCCAGGTGTCCAGGTACAGCCTTGAAAAGTCCCGGTTTCCCATAAACTTCCTGGTTTTAATGCAAAAAAATTTAGCTTGTTTAATTTTTATCGAATTTTACTACTCCTTTGCAAATGTACAATAAAACATCTTCGAATGATAAGAGCTTTTGGTTTGGGTTTATGATCGTGCCGATCTCTTAATAGCAGAAGTTGTTTTCATTTAATTTATGTTCTGTTAATAATGCTGTTAAATTCCTTGTAACTTTGTGCGAGATAATTTTAAGGGTTACGATTTTCCAAAATTTATATTTAAGTCTAACAAATTTGCAATAAAAATCAACCCCTAATGTTGTAAGCATATTTTTTTGAATTTTTGATCCCCTGTAATTTTCCGCCTTTACATTCTATAAAAGGGTATGTATAAGCCAGTACAACTTGTACTAAGTGGGCGTAGTTTAACTGTTTCGCGCGCCATCAACATCTGCACGAGCGAGACAACGCATTTGAAGCAACAAAATCAGTGTGCGAAAAGCAGACAAAGCAAACGACAGAAGCCATCAATAAATCTGAGTGGTGGTGGTGATTTTGACATTAACAAAGCAACCGAGCGACAGTGCCTGTAGCTGTGGTGGATTAAGAAAGTGCCGCTACAACAGCAACCATCAACAAGTAGCCGTTCAACTGAATACGAACAGCGCGTAGAGTGAGGGGAAAAAGTATTTTGGTTGGTAGAGAGCGAGAGAGAGAGAGAGCTAAAGAATTTATTTCGTGCTTTGTAAAGAATACGGTAAATGAGCAGTTGTGCGCTGCAATGGTGATGGGAGAGCCAGTGAGGTATGTGTGCCCGTGTGTGTGGCTGAGGTTTGTGTGGTAAAATAGTTGCATTGGTGTGTGCGTGCGAGAATGCTTCGTGCGGTTTTGTGAAGCTGTTTATTTGTTCGTTTATTTGTTTGTTCGAATGTTAATGCTGATTCCTATGGGAATTAAAGTGACTTGTGGTTTTTGTACATTCATATAAAATTGTTTTTGGCTCAGCCCTAGCGTGATCGTAAATACACATGTATGAAATGAAGCTATGTGGTGTGATGGAAGCTGGATGTGCTGTACAAATGCTTTTTTGTTGTTGTTTTTATTAGAGATTTACATTGCTCTTATTTCGCTGCTGCGACGTTTTTACTTATACGAATTTATGTATACATTATATTTTATTTATTTATTTTGTGGAAAAAAACATTCGTTTGAGATTCTTTCGCATGAATGTATCGCAGCTTTTCATAAGCAACAGTTTAAGTAAAAAACGCGAACGAATCGCTAGGCGGGCGCGTGAATAGACGGAAAGTGTAGATTCAAATTTAACTAAGCGCAATTCTAATGGAAATTTAAATTTTATGTAACCAGAACAGCGTGCGATTGGAGAGCGTTTTTCGGCGCAGGAAATGAAATAAATAAAAGGTGCGCTAAAAAAAAGTGTGGCAAAAACAAGCAAACATTTAATAAAAAAAAGGTAAAAATATTGAGACATTTTTAAAAAAATTTTAGAAAATTAAAAACTAAAAAAGTGCCCAAATGACCACCGGGTGTGCGAAAAAATGAAATTTCCTGCGCGTGGCAACAACAAAAGCTCAATAACTTTAACTGCAACGCACAGTGGTTGTAGCAGCATGCGCGCCACAAAATATGCTAACGCCCACAAGGACAACAGCTGCAAGGACACGAACAACAAAGAACGTCGTGCGCCCAGCTTGTTGGCAAATGCAGTAAAAATGAAAATTACCAAATGTAATGCCACCAAATTGGCTAGCGCTGCGAATGGAAATAAGCCTGCTTCAGCTACAACAACAACAACAACAGCAGCGGCGGCGGCAACAGTAAGCAACACAACAACAACAACAGCTAGTGCGTTTAACAGTAATAATCTCAGTAGATTGTTGAATGAAAGTCACAGAATACAGTTAACGACAGGCGCTCAAAACCAGCAAGACGCACAAGGATTGCATTTGGTGAATAGACAGCACTATCGACCAACGCCGCAGCCGGGTGAGGGAGTGTGTGGTGAGTACGCGCATAGAGGATCCCACATGGTGAATGCCAATGCAGGCAGCGCAGATGGTGAAAGGCGACGCGCACAAGTGCAACAACAACAACCCTCAACGTCATATTCACGGCAGCAGGATCAGCTATTGGCGGAAGACATGCGTGCTTATGCCACAAGTACAGCAGCAACAGCTACATCCATTGGGCATGAAAATCCAGAGCGACGCAATGCAATAACGCCAATGGCTAACACACCAGCAGGAGTGAGGATGGTGAGCAGCACCAGCAGCGTTGGTGTGGTAAAAGAGGAAGAGAAGAGTTCACCACAGCCAGTGGCCACAGCGGCGCTGGAAAGGATGACATTCATAGCGACTGAGACGCGCACTGCGCTGCCGCAACAGCAAGAAGTCATGCGTAGTGCTGGGGAGAATTGTGCGCAGCCGAGAGGCACAAACGCCTATACAACAACACCAACAACGGCGGCTTTGGCATGCACAAATGTGTACTCACACGCGCACTCGCTCGCTCGGTCGTCAGCACAAACACCAACACCAACACCAACACCAACACAAGCTGAACAGCACGCTTCGTACTCGTCACCTACGTCTTCACAGTTGGCTACGTTGCTTGCATTGCCTGCCACTTTGCCGCCGTCATCGTCGTCGTCGTCGTCTGCGGCAGACGCAGCGGCAGCGGCAGCGGCAGCGTCCAAGTCCACGTCCGTGTCAGTGTCCGTGTCGTCGTTAAGGTCCGCGACACCACAGCTCATATCAGTTGTCAACGAAACATCAAACCAAACGGTGTTACGTACGATCGGTGAAGCCCGAACAGCAACTACAGTAACAACGGCCTTTGAACAAACGCCAAATGCAACAATAACACAAATACCCACAACGCTTGCAACTAATGCAATTTTCAAAGTGAAATTAGAGAATAGCGAAGACGTCGAAACGGATAATAATCAGCAGCAGCAGCAGGCAAGCCCTAGTGACGTCGTTGTTCGAGATAGTGTCGGCAATACGGAACACCAACAACAACAGCCGTTACAACAGTTGGCGTCGCGTGATAAAAATGCCAAAAACGCTGATAAGTGTCGAAATGCGATAACAACGTCTACAGCGATATCAACAACAGCAACATTGCCGCCGGTTGTAGCAACAAATGTCGCGCAAATATCGGTTATAAATAGCAACAATAAGAACAACAACAACAATAATAACAATAGTAAATTGTGTGTTAGTGTAAACAGTACAAATCCAAGTGATATCAAAAATGCAAAAATTAGTGATGAACCACAACAAAAACAACAACACGAACAAGAGCAAGAACAAGAAGAAATCTCAAGGGCAGTTGTAGAGCAGCAGCAACAACAACAAAGTGATTTGCTGCCACTAAACTATCGCGGTGTAAACAATTCAGTGATTATAGCTAATTTTAATAGTAACATCGGCAACAACAATAATAACAATAACACTAACAACAGCACAGCAGCCAACGCGGCGCACTACGAGCAAGAAGAGGAGGAAGAGACGACAGCGCAAGAGCAACAGCTGTTGCAGGACGAGCAGCAGCAGCAACAGCAACAACAGCATCAGGAGCAGCAGCATTATTTGCGCTACACGCAGCAATTATCGCAGGACAGCATCGACGAACAACAACAGCAACAACAACAGCAGCAGCAACAACAACAATTGTTGCATCTCACCACGAATATACTCAACGGCACTGATCCCAACTTAAATTTGGCCGCTGCCGCTGTCGATTTGCAACAACAGCACCAACAACAACAACATCAACATTGGCTATCCGCCTACAATAGTTGTGCCTACGATCTCTCACGACATCATCATCAGCAACAACTGCAACAGCAGCAACAGCACCACCACCAGCAACATTTACTGCAATTGGAGCAACAGCATCAGCAACAACAACAGCAGCAGCAGCACACCAAAGAGTTGCTCGAAAAATCCGATTTGATTGCCTTACATCCATCACATTTACTCTTCTCGCCACATCTCACCTCACCAGCATCGCCTTACGTACACTCCACATCGCCGCATCATTTGCATCCACATACGAACGCACACGCAGTACATCATACACAATTCATTGACGACAACATGCGTAACAATTTCAGTTTGTACACACCTTATGGTGGCAATCCACACCATGAACATTTGCAACATCACGCCACCAGCACTGGCGCTGCGCCCAGCAGCATTGATGAGGTTATACAGGATACGCTGAAGGATGAGTGTATGGAGGATCATCATGGCGTGAGCTATTGCACATTGACCACAGTGCCCGATTTGAAGGATGCCTATCATCATCAGCATATGTTGGCCGATCAACAGGTGCTGACGCCCACCCAACTGCATCAGCTGCATGTGGCTACACAACATCACAACAATTCGGTTAGTTCGGGTGGTGGTTCACCGTCGCCCACATCACTATCGCATGGCGGTGTGCCAGGAGATGGCGCCAGTTTTACACAGCTGACGAATGCGACCCCCTATCGGGATGTTTATGGTAGCTTTCCTTCGGATCATACAGTCATGTCGCTATTTCCGTCCTCGCTGAGTCCGGTTCTATCGAGGTGAGTGAAAATATATATTTGTTGTTTTTTTTTAAACTTATTTATGTAAATATTTTTGGCGTATGAAAAAAAAGTTTTCAATAGAATTTTATGTGAATATTACTCTTTAGAGAATTCAAATGTTCAAATGGTAAATATCTTAAAAAAAAAAAAACAGATTAAGTGAAAGGCCTACATATATGTAGTTATTACCCAAAATGAAAAGGTAAATACTTTACTACCCAGAGCAATTATTTCCTTTTTTTAACGAAGTTCTTGATGCTCTCTTAGTTTTTGCAATTTCTTTCGCACTTACAGTGTTACCAGATTTAAAAAAAAAATTAAGGTGTTTTAATTTTATTAAATATTAATAACAAATAACGATTCATTTAAAATAAAATAACATAAAGCGTTTAAATTATACTTAAATGAACAAAAATAGACGTTAAAAAATGGTTTGCTACTTTCTTTAGGCATTTGATTCCATGCCTCAAATTTTAATACCTCCAGAAGGTTTTTTTTAAGAAATCTTTAGAGCTTAAACTACCAGAGAGTTCTGGAATTTCTACTTTATTTCTTGTTTTACTCAAATTTATTTAGAAAAATATTCATTCCACATTTGCTGTAGCGACCGTAATGCAAAGGACAGCTAAAGCCCTTTGTTTTAAATAAGGAAACGCTGCTCATTCATCGTCCCCTAAGCCAATATTGCACACTTTTCTTCTAAAAACACAAGAACTGGCGACCCGAAGTTTTATCATTAGATGTGATCAAGTCGAGAACAGAAACATAATTTTTTCAGTCTCTCCATGCCTACCATTGATTTTTAGGCAAACATTTATCAGTTTTCGTTTGTGGCTTCGATGGTCGAGCTGTTAGATGATCAAGGAATACCAGGTCTAAATACCAGATACTCAATTGTATCCTGACACCCAGAATAAAACAAATTCGTAATGTTTATCAACTTAACTTCTCTTGCATTGATGAAAAATTGTTTAACTAGGTAAAAGCTGACTTTTTTCCACTACGTACTTTTGGTTCTAGTTCTCCGTGGTCTTCTTTATACGCGGTTTTTTCCAACATCTTCCATATACTTTTTTTCAATATTTAATGGACGATATTTCCTTTGCTTCGCTAATTGTTCTAGAGTGCAACTTTTTTACGCGTTGTCTTAAATAAGTTTTCTAATGACCCAACTAACCGAGTAAAAAAGGATGAAGTGTAGCCTTGAGTATTCTAAATACATAAGTTGGCTTTGAATACCAAGCCACATTTTCTGAGGGAGAATTGAAGTTAAGCCACGATACATTTCGCATAGAGTCCAAATTCGCGACCAGTGTGGATTTTGGGGGCTTCATTAAAGATTCTCCTATATGACAGACACTGACTGACGTTTAGATTTCTGATGGTATTTTAAGGCTTTCGAAGACTTTTTGTTCAACGCGAGAATCCTACAGAAGTTTGTTTGTATCTAAGAAATCGAAATACATAAGCAGTGACTCCTCTTAGTGTAGAGGGAACGAGGCCGTCCAACCTCTCGCTTCTATTTAGTGGAAGGGACAACAATAGTTTTATCGGACAGAGGGGTACTTCCCCTAAAATTCTAGCTTAGTAGTTTGAAGCTCCCCTCTATATATACCTACCTTTATTTGCTTTCAAATGCTCAGATTTTGGAGGGAAATCGGCTGAGGCATGTCTGTTCGTCAGTCTGTTTGTTGAGGTATCTCAACAATAGGATAATATGATGAGGTGTGCACTGCGACTTAATTATCTATTGTGTCCTCCGCTCTTCACAATACTTCCTCGAAGCCTAGATTCCTCAGAAGGTTCCATAGCGTTTTCGGCGAATGAGAGTGAATGTTCTCAAGTTGTGACCACATTGCGCCTAAACTTCTCTCACGTCTTCTGCTGACTGCATCGCACTCGATGAGGATATGGAGTGGTGTTTCGCTGGAAGGGTCGCAGAACCTCAGCTTATACAGATTCCCTCTAAGTCTGAAGTGGCCTGTAAGGAATCCTCCGAGGAAGGGCTCGGGACCAACTGGAGTTATAGCTGCCCTCTTCGTTCCAAAAATCGGGATATTTCTAAAGCGTCGAATCCGAACATACAATTTTGTTTTTAGAATAAAATGACAAAACATATTTTAATTTTAATACAGTTTTATTTAAGACAAAACAAGGAGAAAAAACTTGAAACATTTTCGCAAAAATATATACCCACAGTACATACGGTGACGAGAATGTAAATAAGGAAAAGACATTTTAGCAAGTTCTGGCTACTTTGCTTTGTTTAAAAAATGTTTATTATTTTTTATCCGACCAATTTTAACAAATGGTAATCAAGATTTTAAAAATTTTAATCAGATTTTCTAGAATGATTTGGGTATGCAGTTTTGTACATCATTAAATTTTAGTATAACGATGTGCAAGTTTGAAGTAGCTCCGACTTACCGTTGATTTTTGCCAATTTTTTGTTCGCGCATTTTCTTCCATGCCAAGAATGGAGAAAATAAGCAAAAAAAATAAAAAATTAAGTCCTAGCTACTTAAAATTTGCGTTTTGAATTGAATGGGCTAAAAAACTGCATACTCAGAATATTTCTAAGAAATCTAATTAAAAAGCTCATGAAAAGCTTGATGAAACTTTGTCGAATTTTGCTGATTTTTGTACAAAGTTTGAATTTTTGACTTACATGGTCTTTATTCGACACTTTCACAAAAAAAAAAATAAACATTAAATAATCGAAAGGGGAGTATCCAAAAAAATGCTAAAATGTCTCTTCCCTATTTATATTTCCGCCACTTTATCTACAGCTTATCAGCTTATATTTTTCATATCCATGATTTTATTGAGGGAATTAATAAAATTTTTTTGAATTTCACTAAATTCAAGTTAGAATCGTTTCGTACAAAAAAAGGCTTAACAAAGAATTATAAAAACCTTCAAAAAAATTTGGACAAGAATAATAGACTGCAATAAATCGAGAGCCCCAGTTTGACAGAACAAAGCATAAAGGTTATAGTAAATAGGGATGCTGGCTATGTTTATGGTTCCCTTATATTCAATGTCCTTTGTGATAACGAAAGTGTTACCACGTTTGTACGAAAAATTGTTTTTGGGCCAGAGTACAGGGAGATTCTTATTAAATTAATAAAGAAAACAGTGAAAATCGGGACTTAATCGGTACAAATATGAAAAATCGGAACACTTATACGTCCCGACTTTTAAAAAATATTCAGCGGGACAATTTTCTCAAAATCAGTGCTGTCAGTGCACGTGACGCGAAGTGAAAATGGGCTGGTTTTCCTTAAACAGCCCGTTTGAAATTTGAATTATTATTCGGTTCATTTCCATTCCGTTTCAGTCAATCGCGTAAATTAGTTATTAAAGAAATATCGAAAGATAACAGCGTTATAAAGCAAGAAATTGCAAATTATTGGTAATTGGACGCAGACCACGCATGCATGGAAAGTGTAACATCATTTTTGAAAAAATGCAAATTGCTATAAAAATTTAAGAAAATGTACCTCAAATTAAAATTTTAAGTTAGATGTTTAAAAGAAGAAAAAAAAATTTGCTAAATTTTTAAAAATATGAAAGCAAATGCGGAATACCGTCAGCAAAAAAAAAAATATCAAAAATCAATGATAATTTTAAGCCATTTCAAACTTGCATGTTATATAAAAGTTCACACACGATTTTTTCTTTATTCTTATTAAAAGTCCGAAATTTTGATGAAAATTTGCGGAATTTTTTCAAATATTGCAAAAAAGTTTAAAGCTTAGTTTTATATGGTGTTTTTTAAAATATAAGCCACATTTAGCATGAATAACATTGTAAATATAAAAGAAAAAATCACCATATACTCAATTTTGTGACTAACTCTATCTAAGTAAGTAGAATATAATAAAATCTATGGATTTTCTAACTTAAATATTTTTTAATTACCTAGTCAGTAATTTCAGGCAAAGTTAAAAATTCGCGCAACCAGCAGCAATTTTACTAGCAGACAGACAAAAGTGTGTAAATAATTTACTTAGGTTTTCACAAGTTTGCTTGTACGTAATTATTTAAATAGAGCGCAAAATAATATTTTACATTATTCTGCTTAGTTTTACTAAATAACAAAACTTATGACAATTAGGAATTTCCGGAAATTTTAGTGAATTTTGTATTTGTCTTTCATGGATGATTGATGAAATCATTAAATCATTGCACTTTGAATTGCGCAAAGTACTTACAGAAAGGGAGTAGTAAACGAGCAAAAAAATAGGCGCTAGAATTCATAGTACACGTGATATATGTATGGATGTATGCATGTGTAAATGTATATTTATTAAGTGTACTATACATACATATATGTATATGTAGGTATGTACATTAGACCAGAGCTTCTTAAAAGCTAAAAAAGAAGTTCACCGTACACCTTCGAAACGCAAGTATTTTTGCAAGGAAATCTGGATTTTTTGTGCCGAACGTAGGGCTTGCCTTTTTAAAATTTTTCCGTGAAACCTACATACATGCGGGAATATTTGCTTTGTTTTTTAATTTTACCGAAGAATCGAAATATGTACTGCCTTAGCGAAAGACGAATGATTTTTGGTAAGCTTTAATTTACTGACATTATGACGTACATATGACGAGAAAAGAAAAATGTACATTAGGATGGTCCAAAAGTACAAGTGACAAGTGCAAAATTGAAGTGCGAAATTTTAATTTCTCCCCACCTAGGTATCGAAAAAATATACCTAAATTTATTTATTTCGAAATAAAAAAATATTTAGAGGTCGCTCTAAGTGCATTTTATATGGGGAAAAACTATTTTTAGTGGAAATTGTTTTTTTTCATATTAAATACATGAGAAGCTTGAGCGCTTCGAGCGACGACAAATATTTTTTTTATTTAAAAATAAAAAGAAAATGGACAATCCTAGGGGATGAGATCATTAAAACTGCGACTTTATTTTTTTTTTTACCACACTAATGTACATATGTACATACATATGTGTATGTAGTTTAAAA